AGAGAACATTTAAAAAATGACTAGCGGGCTGTCTCAATGCGCTTGCCTCATCATGTTCTCTCGTGAGACAGACCGTGATCGCCTGGCTCGACCGAATGCCAGCGTATGTCATCACATGTACTCCGTACATCACGACAGATTCGGGGCGAGCCCAAAGGCTGGTGCGTGGCAAGTGCAGACGGCAGTCACTGCGGAGCGTTCCGCGCATGGAATGGGCTCAAACCAAGCTACTACTAATTGGTACTAGTTATCAATTAAAATCTGGATTCAGGGTGTGGCGTATCAAGGCCCAAGGACAGCAGGGCTGTGGGAGCTGGGAGGCGCCGTCTTTGCCTTCAGCCTTACCAATCGCACGAACTGCAGCGTTACATTGGAGCCCTCTTTGTACATAGCGTACGTACTGCCTGATAAAGATACAGGTCTCCTGAATCACAGGTGGACACTGGAGATCCAGTCGCCGAATGGACCAGCACTAGCGTCAGTGCATACACTATCGGTCCACGGTCCACCGCCGTCCACCACTGTTCACGACTCCATCTAGATGCAGGTGGGCTTTCTTGCTCTTGACACTTCTCGAGCAATATTCGCGGTCTTGTCACCACAATATGACATAACGATCATGGAGGGGACTTGCGCTGAGCGTTTCCGGTAGTTCACTCGGCACCTCCTGTCGCTCATAAACCGCGGCTCCAGCGGGGCCTAGTGGCGCACGAGCACGCGCGCGGCAGCAACGAAACGGTGATGCTGGAGGCCACAAATCTCTTCCGAGAGTCTAAAAAATGGACTTGTCCCCACTACCAACGAGACTCGACGGAACGCGGTGCTTGGCTGCCACTGCTTGCTCGACCGGCGGCGCATCGTCTCCGGCGCTCCAGGTTTTACAGGTCGTCGGTTGACGATAGTACACATAGCGGGTTCTAATCATTGAGATTAACACTGATTGCAAATATCCAGGGTTTGGGCTTGCAGTTGGGCATGCCTGGATGTAGCAATTGGCCTCGGCTGGCTAGATGAGGGTAGGTGTTCCCCTATCCGATTGAGCAACGATATGTATGAACGTACGTACGTACGTAGTACAGGTACATGTAGTACCGTATATAAAATTAGTATCCGTACGTCGTAGTCAATGTCGAACACATGGGATTTCATGTCGGGAACAGCATGTGGGAGGCTGAGAGCCTTGCTCTGACGCGTCGGGGGGCGAATAATCAATACGAGGCTCGTTCCACGAGCGTGGAATCGGTCCGTGGAATCGGTCATGCCTCCCATTTGATTGCCGTGAAACGAGGCCCGCGAGGCACAATGCCGTCGTACGTACGACTACGGAGTATAGTACATGTACGTTCTGCACTTGGACTACCTTGCCCACCTGTGCAGTCTACATTCCACACCTGACCGCAGTTCCAAGTATAAAATAGGCAATGCGCCGACGACCTGGACCGTAAGTCTTCAGCAAGCATGGTGAGACCCAAGATCAGGGCAGGGCTACAGCGCTTCATCTACGTAATACGTCGATGGTCGGGCAGCACATGAGATGCCTTGCAAGGCTCAAGCTCCAGCCGTTTCACCAATGTGGTCCAAGTGCCGAGGTGTGGTTACATTGAGGTTCGCAGTCGGCACATAAGACAGGCAATTATAGTGAATTACAATCAATCATTGGCGCCAGGCACCTGCGTGAATCGTCGTCCTCATGCCAAAAGCAGGACGAAGCACCGGTCCCACAAACGTCCCGAAGGGCCTTGCCGGTCTCCGTGGACCGAGTCGATCGACCAACCTTCCATGCCGCAGGCACCGAGCGCAGGGTGGTGCGACCCACACGAGACCTGAGGAGGCATCGCTGCATCGGCCGTACTGGTGTCGGGCGGCGGATGAAAGAAATGCTCAGAGTCACTGCTCTTGTCGGCGCTTTCGTCGTCACTTGGTGGGACCTACTATGTAGGGTCGGTCGCCTGCCGGCGGCTTACCACGCAGCGACTTGACATGTCGATTATTCTGTCGACCTACAGTCTTCAAATAATAAACACCTACAAGTACTCCGAATATTTCGCAGACTATTCATCACTTGGTCTTCCTGGCGTCTTGGGCTGCGTACGTGGCTTCGATCCCTTCTGGATACTTCAGGCGTCGATCGCTGAGATGCGTGCGCATTTGCCTCATGCTGTCGGTATCCTGTAATAAGCAGGATTCGGGGCAGAGAATATGCACGCCCATGCTCACTGTATTGGCCGTGATTCGTCTCCGGGAGGGACGGCTCAGCGGCTGAGAGCAAGCCTGAGTCTGCTGTGCTGCAATTTCCGGTGGCTGCCAGATCTTGAGCCGAGGCTCTCGCCTTCCAAGGCCTTTAGCTCTGGCCCCTGGCGTGTATACGTACGTACGTGTCTACGTAGTGATTTTATTGAATTATCGATCGAACAAAAATGGGGCTAGCAAGCTTTGAAGGATGAATAAACTCACGGGGCGATGCGCCCGTCACTTGGCACGACAAAATCCCCAGTCTCGTGGGACAGGTGAACTTCTGGACAGAGCGACAGGCTGGCACTTGAGGCTCCGCAGCACAGTTACTAGTTAGTGACCATGGAACATTTTCCCAGCGAGGCTGGTCCTTATCGCTTGGCAGCAGTGCTGTTGGTGATTATCGGACCCTATGTGACGATCGGGACACCCTGAGCGTGAGTGCCCACTGGCCTCGCACGCCCATCACCCCCCAGGGGCCAGAATCAAGTAGCTGTGGTGGGTAAGGGGATTGTCCTCTGTAGACCCTCGACTAGTGAGCGACGTGGACAAGGCCATGGTGGACGACGCGCCCTCTTCCAGAAAGGCACATGGTGTGCGGCCTGCCTTTCCAGCATTTTCAATATTCCGCGGTGGTTATTATAGCCTGGTATCCGTACTGTAGTTCGTACTGCCGTGCAGTTGAGCACAGCCCCCGGATTACCAGATGACGCTGGCGCTGTAACAATACCTTCTCACCAAAAGCTTTACAGGTCTAAAAACTGAGTACAGCCTTCTTTGTTGGTCGCGTCCTTAGGCGCATACTCTAGAAATCAGGCTTGATAGCAAGACATGGGCGTGGCTTGCTAGACGTCCAGAGAGGTCCCGGAGCGTTCAGACCCGATTTATTGAAATAAAAAAGCCACATGCACGTTCGACTTGCGCAAGTACAAGCACTAGGCGAGGTAGGGCTACCAGTGCGTAATTGGCGGGCGCGCAAGCAGCCAAGCTACTAATCGCTGACCATCAGTCGGCGAAATAATGTTGATGGCGAGAATGCTTGAGTGTTATTAAGGGGACGGAACTTATGAAGATGATGATGAACAACAGATCAGAAGAGAAGGAAGATGATGAGTTCTCTATCTGAAGAACATGCTGATGCTATCAAAAGAAGGAAGAACGCGATAGCGCGAAGATGCTGCCTTTGAGGGCAGCTGTGGGCCGAATGTGTGGCTGACTAATCAAGGCAAACCTGCCTGACAAACAACCTGCCTGACAAACAACAGAACTGCAATTCAACTTAGGTAATTACTACGTAGTCAGGTATCCATACCACTAGTAAGGTAACAACCGAAGGCCCAGTAGGCCCAGCACCCAGCACGTGACGCATGAACATGTAAACCAGACTGCGCGTGTTCGTCACCCCTTACCTACCCTGTATCGTGGCCACTACTTAAAGTGCGTCGGTCGAGTGTCTGCAAATTTGGAGTCAACAACGCCAACATGAGTCCCGGAAAAGGCTCATCTTACGTGTAGCTTATCTGTTGGGGCTCTGGAAACAACACTATGCAAAATAAAACAAAAAACGCCGAGCTGAACAAGCTACTATAGTAGTAACTCTATGTGTGATCTCTATTTTCAAGTTGCTTGGCAAAGGGGCGTGAACTTTGGTTGGCCCTGTTGCTGAAACTACGGAGCCTGAAATCAGAAAAGTTTGATTGCTACTTTAGTTTTCGAGCTCTACATGATCCCATATAGCGTGATCTTTTTTACCTTATCCTTTGTCGCCGTCTTAATCGGACTTGCTGTTTGCAACCGCCGGTTTTTCGACCCATCCTTCCCAAAGCGATGCAGCAACCGCGCGCGAAGGATCATTTCATATGTGCACTCAGTACGTCTACCGCGCACGAATAAATTGCATGCAGTTCTGATACCGGTAGTGCTCACGACGGGCCCGGCTGTCTCGAGAACCCAGAAGGACCCTGTCGCATTCTTCGCCCGAGAGCGGTAGAAACGGGCAGTGTTCCTACATATAGAAATGCACGCCCGACAAGTGAGATCAAGTGGGCTTCTTAGCTTGCTATTATTCTTTGGAGAAGCGTCAGGCAACTTTCAAGGCATGGCTTGAAACTGGTCTTGGTGGAAAAGCCGCATGGTTAATTTCAAGCAGGAAGATCGCTTTAAACAAGCCTAGTGGTTCCGGCTTTTGCACGTTGCCACGTTTGATCATGACAGAAACACTGGAATTGCACTCACAGGTCCTATGCTAGTGAGCTGACTTGGGCTCCCGATAACGAAGAAGTCAGCAATCTCCACTCCGCTGAACCTCAGCTGATTGACTTTACCTCGGCGGAGATGCATCCAGCATAGCTTTGTCCTGGGTAAGAGCGAGTGCGCCTCAATCGGGTCGTCACCAGTTGGGAACTCGAACTGTCAAAACCACGCCAACGAGGAGAGCTAAGGATTGTTTGCCCATGCGGGTGCTCTTTGCCAACTTAAACGCTACTCACAAAAATAAAAGGGGATAAGCAAGCCTATACTACCTCCTCGGATAAAGGGGGCCAGGGTGACCATGATTCCAAGATGCGAAGCGATAACGGAACACTCCATAAAACCTGTACACATATGTAGAATAGCATCTGTCACACAAGTCATTTGAAATGCAGAAATTATCAGAATCACAATCCACTGTTTTTTCTCTTGAGAGATAGAAGCCGTGCGATGAGGCATAACATGAACGTGAAGCCAGCAAAACAACATCCACAGGTGTCCGGGTCCCTCTGCAATATCTATTCAAGAGGTAGCCACTGACTCGCTAGTTTTCGAAGCTCATCTGGATAAAAGTCCTCACCAACCTGCACACTGTCTCGTTCCTCAAAGTCCAGACAGAAACTGCGCAGATGCGACAGCTCGGCGTCGTCCAGGAGATCCAGATTGTACAAGTTGCGAGCAAACTGTAATGTCGAGAACAAGACACAGTCGACGACCCTGACTGGCCTCTCTGCATTTTTGCCCGCATCCTCCGCGTAGTACCGATCTAGCAGTCTGAGGTTCTTTGTGCAGAACTCGAGGGCCAGCTTTGCCGTGAGCGCGCTTGTCGTCTCCAAATCCACAAACAATGCGGTGCCCTTGTGACATGCAAAGCCGAAGAGACTGGTGGCCTCATCTGCCAGGATGACCATGTCACGATGACTCGCTCGCTCCTCCGCTGTGGTGCCTCTCATGTCGGTGTTCCGGTCGGCGCTTTCCGCTAGCTCCTTCTGCCATGCCTGCGCAGGGTCTGGTTGGGCGCAGATGTCTTCAAGGTAGTCGATAATGGCCACAGACTGCTTGATGAATGAACCGTCTGGTAGACGTAATACCGGCACAGTGCCTGGTGGCTTGCCCTCTGCAATCAGAGTACCGGCCTCAGAGACGTCGCAAGACACAACGTCGATGTGCGGCGAGTGGGACAAGCCTTTTTCAGCGAGATATATGAGAACTCGACGAGGGTATACACCCCACGTGAGGGTGTAAAGCGTGAGCGTGGCGAACATTGTGGTCGAGTGGCAATGATACTGTTCGGTGTCCCAGTTGTTGGAGTGAAAGCTGCCATAGGACTCAGAGTGAGCTCTTTCAGCGAAGGGATCCTTACTAAATACCATGAACTGAGCTCGGTCACTTGTATCCTGATTGCCATCTCGTAGGTTACATTTTCTAAAAGTCTCCGACGTTGCGTCGGAGATATATGATGCCTGAAAGCAAACCAGGACTAGATTGACACCAAGAATAATGAAAGGTAGACATGATGAGGAACTAGGGACAAAATGATCATGGATAGTCTCTCTTTGGGTTCGCGCATGAGCGCGAAATTGACTGACAATATGTGACCATTGCCACCAAGCAGACATTGGCTGATCTTAGCAACTTGTCGAGTGGTCCTCAATGTAATGCTGATGTCTTTTAAGTACAACGCGCCATGAAATCATTCTAGGTGGAAGAAACACACATCTATGTTCGTAGTCCGACGCTGTCCCCAATGTCCTCGCATGACTGTCTCATACTCTTTCGTCAGGTGGAAATCGGTCATGAAACACACAAGCAGAAGCCATCATTTCTGAGTCAGGGGCCTCGATGAGGTTCAGTTCGCTCCTCGGCCTCGTGACAAATAGTATGCCTGCCATGCTCGAAGAAGCCCATGGGTCATCAAACACGTTGCATCCCTTTTTACCTTGAGTACGTCGAAGAGAGTAGTAGATGTGGGTTCATTTGCTCTCATCAGCCTCGCTTCTCGTCATACCAGTGTGTAAGAGCTATTCGGCTCACTCTTTCAAGGACTTGACAATACCAAGGGCTGTGTGCGGTGAGCCCCCTGGACTCTGGCTTGTGCGTGGAACTTCCCGACGTGCCTCAATGTCGAACATTGCACCGCGAGTAGCTGAGTCTAGCTCACAAAGAAACGATCTTCATTGACATCTTGGAGCTGACGGCCGTAAACTGTCCTTACCCGCGGGCATTGGCGCCGACTTGGGTATCGACTTGACCAGTAAAGGACGACGAGGACGGCGAACGTTGGCAAAGAAGACTTGCCCGAAAGCATCGTCTTATCAGCTCAGAGTAGGAAGTGGATAATCGCTGCCGTAGATACGGAGGGCTCCCGCCGCATCTCAAGCGATCACGAATCAGATATTTAGGGTGGACTCTCTCTTCGACTCTCGAAGCTCGGGGAAGCGCGGTGTCCTGTATTTTTTGCGGTGCGTATTACTCCGTAGGTCACTAGGTGCCCATTTGCTTGTATTCGCACAAAACACGCGTGGCAACGATTACGACAATGTTGGGCCTTCTCGGGCAGTAACGGGCTGCGGGCATTGTCGGCATTTTACGCTCAGCCACTGTCGCCTGACTTTTCGCATGTCAACCCTTTGCGCAGCTTCCGACTCGTAAAAACATCTCTCGTTGACAGCGACCATTGCAATGTGAGCGAGCACACGTGGGGAATCAGTGTCGAAACCCCGAAGATGTACGGAGTGTAGTTAATCCCGACAATATGACTACTTGTTGAGAGACAAGGAGCAGCCACACTCATCAATCCCAGCGGCCTGTCCATAATGAGTTCTTCATTTCATCACATTGATCATAACTTTAGGTTTAGATCAGGCGCTTCCATAGTTCGGGGGTTGAACTGATGTATGGTATCGGGTAGGTCAATCACGCTTCTGACCTGGGACCCATGTGCCGGGCGGCCGTCAGACACGTGCGACAAACATGAACGTGAAAGCATGTTGAGACTGTTCAATTTTTCGCTGCAATTACTTGTTGCCTAGGCAGTATACGTACGGAGCCCCGATGTATGCATGCAGCCAGTGAAGTGCTTGATTGGCTGAGTGTGCGCAGCTGCGAGGTCCGGCAAGGCTACCGAGAGATCAAGCAGAGGGATCTTCCACTAGTGGCTATCGGCCGTAACATAGATACGGTATAACCAAGTGATCACCTGGCGGTAAAATCAACCAGGGACCCGTGGCAGCAATGCCGAACTTGCCCTCGAGGTGAAAGGCTTAGGTCAATGTGCACAATGGCCGCAGAGAGCTGATAGTAATTGCCTTGGCGGTTGCGCCATGCGATATCAGGTCGAGTAGTAGTTGTTGGTCTGTCGGATCTTCGTGGGTGAAGCTTGATCCGCAACAATGGCGTGAAGACAGGCGACAATCAATACAGAGTAGAAAGAGATCGACCAGGTCTGAGCCGCCTTGCCGTGAGCACAGGGCTGGCTGCCTGAGTGAGACCCTGTACCGACGATGCCCGATTGGGGATAGGCCGTCAAATCGGATGGGCCGTCAACAGTTGACCACTGGAACATGAAGTCCAACCACGACGAAAAGTTGCTGGGTCTATTCATATAACCTCGCCTACTTAGTTACTACACACCGCCTATTGACAACATGCCATCTTGTGAAAAACTTCAAACGTCGATAGCCGTTGACAGTGGTCTTGCATTTTAGCTGCTGCACGAGTTCGTCGCGCCGCGTTTGTGCACCAGCGGCGGTGCCGAACAGCCGGGCGGCCTCGATCATGAATAATTGTATGGATGCCGGTTTGCCGTTTGATCCATACAAGTGCGCCAGCCAGGTGGCCCAGGTCCGCGCTTGGCCGACTGACAATTGTCACATTGGTTCAATGTTTGTCGAAATAGTTTATGACTTTCTGCCGAGCCCGCCATGATTGGTGGAAGGAGCTCTTGCGCTCTTGTCCTTCATGTCCATGTCGCGCCGTGTGCCGTCATGGCTCCTGTTTGTATCAGAGAGCATTGGCATGAAGGTCTGTGGCTGATGCCGACAATTCCGTGCTCGCTGCATCCGGAACAGAGCAAGCACTATGGCCTGATATCCTGTCCGTGCATTGCGATTCATGTTCTAGAAAGATAAATCCGGGGTTCGAGGGTTGTTCAAGGCCGTGCTGTCGGCAGCAGATGCGAGATAGCACTGTGCAGCACCACGGTGTTATAGAGGCGACCCAGATTACGTACGAGTTCACGAGCGCCGATATTCGCCTGCTGCGATACTAACGACATTCACCTTGCTACTCACGTGCCCAGTTCACCACTCGTAGCCCGGAAATTGGCAAGATGAGAGCAAAAGTCTTCTGGGAGCATGGAAGAAGGACATGGACATGCCTCGCAAGCCTCATGTCTGAGGTCTCTCCTATTCTCCTTCACAGCACATGAGAGGATTCGACGTGGGGGATTTCGAAGCCTGGACGCTGGATCAGCACAGTGCGCAACCAGACGACTATATTCCGTGATCCGTCTTGGCATCGTCGACTACTGCAGGTGCCTGAAGGGATACGCAACCCGCTGAATGCCATTTCGTTGTAGGCTTCGACAGCGGTGCCGCGGGCGGCTTGGCACCGATTTAGCGGTCGCGCTTCCCACTGTAGGTACCTACCTAACCTGCTACCGCCCCCTCTTCTGAAGGCGCTGGCCTTCAAGTCCACCTCAGTCTTTCCATTCCATTCATCAAGTTAATCCCCCCCAGTCCGCCTGCCGTCCCGTTCGTTAATTGATCGACTTGGCACCTCATCCCCATTCTCACCTCTCTCCCTCCAAACCAAATCCCAGCCTGCGATTCTCGAGGGACCGTCCTAGTTCGTTGCGACACGGCATCGCCATCACCATTCATTCAAGTCACCCGACCGGCAGACACTCACCCGGTCGCTTGAGGCGGCCCCTCCGCTATCCAACGCCGCCAAGTGCGTAATCCGTCCTGCGACTGCCTTTCACGAAAGTAGCGAGCGAGCAAAGTCAATTCCCCAGCCAGCCGCGCAATCACCCTGGCGAGCATTACCGAGTCCACTACCATAGCCACGCCTGGCAACCGCGCCCGCTCAGAGAGCAGCACCCTTCTCGCGATTCAGGCATCGCGCCTACCACAAATCCACCGCCATGGCCGACGAGGAGAAGAAAGGGTCGCCAACCGAGACGGTCGAGGCCGCGACCACACATTCGCATACCTCGCACCCGTCGTCCAGAGGGACCTCGGAGCCGCCGCCCTTTATCGAGTCACATCTGGTAGGATAATCCCATGCATCGCCAGGTTGGAGGTTCGGCCTGAGAAACTGACGGTAGTCCCAGCAGCCTCAATATGTGGTCGAGAATGACGAACAAGAGTTGCCGCAGCGCGCTGGGCAAGATCTACATGTCACCGAAGACGACCTTCTCGAGGCGCAAGAGTTGGCCGACAGACTGACGCTCGCAGAGGTGCGCGACATCATGATACGTGTGCATCGAATCCACGAGTTCGATCCCAACTTTCCAATTGTCGTTCTCCACAAGATCAAGGCCTTTCTTGACCATGAGTATCTTTTCGTACCGCTAGACGATATCGACGACGAGAAAAACAAATTTACCGCACACGAGGATCTGATTGCCGAAATGAAGCTGGAGGCGGCTCTGATCACAACCAACAGTCCGTATGCCGAGGTCCGTGCCGTCGTTGACAACCACGACGACGTCAATGCGCCCTCGTCAACGATCCGCAGCTGGGCAATCGGCTTGATGTTCTCATTGGCCCTCGCCTTCGTCAACCAGCTGTTCGATATCCGTCAGCCAACAATCAGGGTGATGGCCAATGTTGCCCAACTCTTGGCTTATCCCATGGGTAAGGCATGCGAGAATTGGCTACCCGACAAGGGGTTCACACTCTTCGGCGTCAGGCACACACTCAACCCTGGACCGTTCCATCGCAAGGAGCATATGCTCATTACCATAATGGCCAACGTGGCGTACAACACACCATACACCAACTACATCATTTGGGTTCAATACCTTCCGCAGTATTTTGACCAGCCTTATGCGGCCCATGCGGCATACCAGATTCTCATTGCTTTGAGTACCAATTTTATTGGCTACGGAATGGCGGGAATATGCCGGAGGTTCATCGTCTACCCGTCTTACTGCGTGTGGCCCGCGTCTTTGGTCACAATTGCTCTCAACTCCGCCTTCCACACGGGCGAGAACACGCCTGTTAAGGGACCTCTTGGTACGACATGGCGAATCTCGCGCATCAAGTTCTTTTATGCCATGTTTGGCGCCATGTTTGTTTGGTTCTGGTTCCCTGGCTACATCGCTACCGCCTTGTCAAAATTTAGCTGGCTGAGCTGGATTGCCCCTAACAACATGGTTCTCAACTCCATTGTCGGATTCAACAACGGCCTTGGCATCAACCCTTTCCCGACTTGGGACTGGAACACCTTGTTGTGGGACTCATCTGATCCCCTTATGGTTCCCTTTTTCAGCACCATCAACCGCTTCTTGGGCGCCTTCGCGTCCATGTGGGTCGTCCTTGCCATCTGGTATCGAAACGTCTACAACACAGGATACTTGCCGATCAACACGAACCGAGTGTACGACCATTTCGGTCACTTGTACAACGTTACCTTGGCCACCAACGACAAAGGCCTCTTTGACGCCGAGAAGTACGAGCAATACTCACCTCCATTCCTAGGCGCCGGCAACGTCGTCATTTACATGTTTTTCTTTGGCGTCTATACTTCCACGTTGACGTACGCGGCCTTGTACCATCGCCGTGAGATGGTCACTGGCTTCAAAGGCCTCGTCAACAGTTTCCGTCGCAACAAGGTGGCAACCGACGAGTCCGAGCTTGACGTTCACCACCGCCTGATGAAGAAGTACCCCGAGGTGCCTGAGTGGTGGTACTTTGTATGCCTTGTCGTTGCCATCGGGCTTGGCATTGCTGGCATCAAGGGCTGGGATACCAACACGTCTCCGGGGGTCGTCTTCTACGGCTTGGCCCTCTGTATAATCTTCGTGATCCCTGTCGGCATCATCAAGGCCATGACTGGTATCGAAGTCACACTCAACGTTCTGGCCGAGTTTATCGGTGGATCCTTTGTTGAGGGAAATGCTCTAGCGATGAACTACTTCAAGTCATTCGGCTATGTCACCTGCGCTCATGCGGTGTGGTTCTCCAACGACCTCAAGCTCGCTCACTATGTCAAGATCCCGCCTCGGCATACCTTTACCGCACAAATGGTGGCCACCTTTGTCGGAACCCTCGTCTGTGTTGGCGTCCTCAATTTCCAGATGCGCCACATTGACGGTGTTTGCACGCCCGATGCCCAGTTCCGTCTGACCTGTCCTGGGGTTAACACCTTCTTCACCGCCTCCGTCCTTTGGGGCACCGTTGGGCCTACCAAGATTTGGGGTCACAATGGCCAGTATACCGAAACACTGGTCGGGTTTCCTCTGGGTGTTATCATTGTCGTCTTTTTCTACATACTTCACAAGAAGTTCCCCAAGTTGGCATGGGCTCGCCAGATCCACCCCGTCGCCATCATGTATGGTGGGATAGTCTGGGCCCCGTACAACATGTCCTACGTCTGGCCATCAGTTCCCATTGCCTACCTATCGTGGATCTACCTCAAGTCCCGCTTCCTCGGCTTGTGGTCTAAGGTATGCGTTTCTCGATTACTATACATCCGAATTTCCGACTAACAATCCTAGTACAATTTTGTCCTCTCGGCAGCTTGGTCGTGCGGCATCGCTATCGCGGGCATTATCATCTTCTTCACCCTCCAGTGGACAGAGACCGAGTTCGTATGGTGGGGCAATGAAATTCCATACGAAGGCTGCGAGGGCAAGGCATGTACGTTGAAGACGCTCGAGCCCGGCGAGTACTTTGGCCCACGGATAGGCAACTTCCATTGAGCCAGTAAGCTGTTCTGTTCTTTCGATGCACAATTGGGACACGGGACTTGGATTTCGGGGAACGGTGTTATGGGCCTATCAAAACTTTTGGGAACTTGCGAATGCATATGGGCTTTGGAGTTGTCTGATTTGCTAGGGACTGGCGAAACTTGTTGATTTATGTATTGAGGGGAACGGTCGGTCGGTGATTTTGGATGAGTTATACCCCCGATCCTCCTTGCTCAGCTTTATATGGCAAATTCGAATTTGATGAATAGATCAGTCAACCGTTGTTCTGTTGTTTTCATGAGCAAATGAAGTGAAGTGAAGTTTCCAGCGCAGGAAAGACAAGCAAGAAGCACGAACGCTAAGATGACTACTAATTCAATGTACAGAGACTCGACAAATGCCACGATAAGATCGCCAACCTCATCACGTAGCTAACCAAGCTGGACCCAGTGGCGACACTGGGCTCTCCTCATTCGTACTGCTCGAGTCGCCGCTCGCTCTTCTTGCCGAGGGGCTCATGGGGCTAAAAGCCAGTTCCGTTGGCTGCTGCGCTGTTCCGCTCTGCGGATTCAACGGCCTAGGGGTATTCGATCTCAACGTTGTGGGTGTTGTCGACCGACCCTCATTCTGGATGGGTGTCCAGCGCCCTCCGTTCTGCTCGTTGTACTCATGTTGCAGCTCCAGAGCACGCGGGGGCAGCTCGGTCGGGACAGGCTCGCTGATCATCACGCCTTTGGGCCCGGACCCGACGCTGTCGTGTGACTTGTGCGATGAGCGGTGGCGACGCACCCAATCTCCTGCTTTGGAGCCGAGGTCACGGACGCTACCACTGTGTTGGAGGCCGCGGAAGCGACCGAAAGTGCTCTTGCGAGCAATGCCTTGGTTGTTGGACGGCCACTTGTTCTCCGTAGGCGTACTCCTGCCACCCGGAGGCGCGTGATTGTTGGCTGATGCTACATTGACGCCGCCGTTGGACCCGTTGGCCCATGACATGACCTGCTTGCGGCGTGTGATGCTCGAGACGATACCTGCTTCCGACATCTTCTTGACGATCAGCTCGTACTGCGCTGCCATGGTCGGATGCTCAATGATCTCCGCGGGTGTCACGCGGAGCTTGTTCAGGCCCTTGATGGGCTGCTTGGCGAACTCGGCGTTGATGCGGTCGGCAAATGTCTGTGCAGGCAGCACGGAGCCCCAGAGATCAAAAAATTTGGCCTTGTGCACCTGGTCATCTGGCACGCCGAGTGCCTTAGGGTCAACGACGCCCGACCATACGGCGGATATAAGGGATTGCAGGGCCTGGCGTTCGTCGTGAGGGAGTGATTGATGGCGTTTGGAAGTGTCGTCTCCGACAACGGGTGACCCAAAGGCGATGGGGATCTTAGGCGCCGAACGAGTGATCTCTGTGGCAGACTGAACCATTGGCTTCTCAATTGTATCATAGCTGGTGATCATGTCAACGGCAATGGTCAGCACACGAAGAGCATCCTCGGCGAAACTGCTTGGGACGCGACCCTCAGAGTACTTGAGCTCGAAGTTGACCGTATGAGGCCCGTCGGTCGTGGTCTGGATCAGAATATCCGGCAGGTCCTGCATTCCCGGCTCGATCACCGTGTGGGTGAAAGTTGTGTCGCCCATGTTCAAGGTAGTGGCACCATCGGGTGGAGGCTGGGGACGGTGGTGCACGACGGTACTGAAGCGAGTCCAGTAGGGCCAGTCGGTACAATTCTGAACGAGTTCCAAAATCCCCATGCCCTCATGGGCTCGTACCTCTGTGCGTGACGCTTGCACCACACGCATAAAGTCAAGTGGCGTCTCTTGCGTATCGGGGAATCTGACGCGCATGGGGACAATATTGGCTGTTGGGGCAATCATGGCGGACGCATCAAAGCGATCGGGCAGAGGAATATTTTGTGCCTGGGTGACGACACCAAAGACAACATCAGAAGAGGCAGCGTACTGGGCGAGCACAATCGCCCATGCTGCCTTGAGGACAGTGCCAAAGTTCAGCCCATACTCAGAGACTGGGTCGATTTGAATGCTTTGGCGCAGCGTTTGTATGTCAGACGCAGGGGAGCAGGGCTTCACATGCGCGGCGAACTGTGTCATCTTGGCGCCGTCAAGCTTCTCCCTCCAAAAGTCAATGGTGCCTTGGTTATTAGCAGCCTGCGCTGCGCGGGTGTAGTCAAAGAAGTTGGGCCTAGACGAGACATTGCCGTGGCCTTCATAGAGCGCAGCAAGCTCCTGCACAAGCAAAGTGACGGAAGCCTCATCAATCTGCGCGCTACTGAGGCGGACGATCAAGGTACTTTGCTGGCCAGCATCGAGAAAAGTGAACTTGGTGGCCGGTTCCTCTGGCTTGAAGTCGACACCTTGATCCTCGGCGATGACATTGTCAGCAACACTGCCCAGGCACCACGCAGGGCAAGGGTACCGCTGGAATTCGGGCCGGAAACCGTCCAGGAGCACCTGGTAGACATGGCGATCGTGAACGGCGAAGGCAGTACGGAAGATGGGATGCAAGCGGGACAGAGTCTCGCACGCCGTCTGCAGCTTCTGCGCACGGATTGGGCCATTAAAGTTGAAGACGAGGCATTTGATACCGCCCTTCTTGCCGTACATGCGAGTTTCCAAACCATGGATTTGAAAAGCCGAAGCCTCCACAACGTCCAACACTTCACGATAATGAACCTTCATCTGAGGAGCAACGTAGTCCTTGACAAAGTTTTCCTCAATGTTGGGGATCTTGAACGAGTCGATCCTACTCTCGGTGCGTTGGAGCGATCGGCGTACCTCTAATACAGGCTTGATGTCAGCGGCGGCCATGGCTTGGCAAACTTCTGTCAGAGAAGCACCACCGAGAATATCGTTCAGAGTGACGGTCAAGGACGACCGGCGAGCTGCCACCACCAGCTTCTTAGCAAGGTATTTGTCGCCTCCCAGCCAAAGGAAGCTATCGTTGCTCTTGATATTGGAAGGGGGTATGTCCAAAGTTCCAGCCCAGACGTGCCGCATGCGCTCCTCGACATGTGTCAACGGTAAAGGCTTCTCGGCAGCCTCAGCCTCTTCAGCGTTGGCAGTTGTTGCAACTCCCATCAATTGTGAATAGTTCATAGCTGATACCATTTTCTGCAGCTTACGCCTGTTGACCTTGAGCGAGCTTGAGATGGGCAACTGCTTTAATGGGATAAAAACTGAAGGGATGTGTTCCATAGCCAACCCCTTCGCCCCTCCAGTTGGCGAAGAGGCTCTACGCAGCGCTTTGGCAAGTTGCGTGCGTTCTTTGGTGCGGGCGCGAAGCTGGTAAAGATCTTCAGAGCCCTCCTCGAGGTCATCACCGAGCTCCAAGAATGCAGCCAAAAGCTGAATCGAGTCATGCGTGGTCACGGATTCCACGACGACGTCGTACTTGGAGCCCAAACATCGGCGAAGTTGATGCTCAATGTCAGAAACGGATACGCGGGTCCCATCGATATAAACATCATCGCGCATGCTCGAGAGAAATTGGATGCTCTTGTCATCCAAGTATCGCACGCGGTGACCCGTCTTGAGGTAGCGCAGCCTGCCTGGGCTGTCGGCAGTACCGGTTCGAGACGGAGCCTCCGCGATTTGCCCAGGTACAAACTTGTGAGGCGTCAGCAGCGGACAATCGATTGCCAGCTCGCCAACAGCACCAAGCGGTGTCAGTTTCTTGGGGTCTTCTGGATTGAGAATCCAAAATCTCCCCGCCAGAGGCTGTGGAACCATGGTAGTGTTGTTACTAGCCTCAACTTCGGCGACAGAAATACCCAGGGGACAAATGTCTGGCGCTCCGTAGGCCAATAGGACATGTCGATTCGGCATCCAAGACTGGCGCGTGTATTCGTCCAGCCGACGAGTTCGGAAGCAAAGTGTCTTGAGATTGGGGACCTTAGCAGGGTCAATCCGGCGAGCAAGTGTCGAGGTCATGTACGACCAAGTCACGTTCATGCTGGCCAGCACACCAGCCAGGTTGTCCTGACGATCCTTGGCGGATGGAATGCAGATACAACCGCCGTGAACCATAGTACCTAGGATCTCAACGAGGGCGACGTCGACGTTAAAGGCCGCCAACTGCAGGACTCTACTGTCCCTGTTGAGCTTCAGGGCAGGGCCCTGCGCTTTGAATGCTGCACATAGTGAACCGTGAGTAAAGAACAGACTCCTCAAGGCGCCCGACCGGGACTTTCCGGGCGAGTAGATCATACAAGCGCCATGATCAGGAGTCGGGTCCCGTGCGGGAATCGTGACCTGGGGTGGTAGGATGGAGAAGAAGCGCTCGTTGACAATGACGAGGTTGGGAACAATGCACACAATGTCATTCCAGGCCGAATCCGTAGCCACGACAATGCGAGAATCGAGCTGCTTTACTGAAGCTTCCACAGCGCTGCATTCATGAGCATCGAGGCTGACGACAGTACCACCAGCCTTGAGAACGGCGAGCATGATCACAGGCGCCCACTTGCTCTTTTCCAAAACAACAGGCACGGGCATCCCAGGAGTGATACCAATGTTGCGGAGGTACGTCGACAGGGTCGAGACACAGTAGACCATCTGATGGTAGGTCATGTTGCCGTCCCAAGCACAGATGGCAGGCGCTTCAGGGCGTGACTGCGCGTGAGGAAGAATGAGCTGAGGCAGTGTCGTATTGACCTTATCTCCGACAGGCTTGGAGTCAAAGTCTTGGACAACGAGTTGAGCATGGTCGCGATCAGTGAATAGGTCAATGGTGCCAATGTTCTGCGTGGGGGTATCGAGAATGATGCGGATGGCTCTCTCAAATGTGTGTACAATATTCTGCGCCTGGACAGGCGTCATGCGACGGAAGGCGAGGTTGGCGTGAAGGTGATCGTCGATGAACATGGTGGACATGGACAGATCAGTGTCAGATATGCGCGAGGATGTGACCAGGTTCGCCCGGAAGCTCGCGGCGTCCAACTCGGGATATTTGTGGCGTGCATTGTCAAAGTCCCTCATCGACAAGCATGTATTGA